GCTTGTTTTCACCGTTCACGGTTAGTGCTACTTCTATAACTCTTTCCAGTCCATGTTCACTCGTGTTGCCGAGTAAAGATGACCCTGGTGTCCGTGATAAAGCTTCCAATTGCATTTGCCATAATCAAAGCTCACTCATTGTGCTCATAAAATCACTGGCGGTTGGGCATGCTATCTTCATGCTGATATCGACATCATGGGGCTTTCTCTCGGTGAATTGCAGTCAGCATCTGCATCGCTTAGCTGCCGATGACATACAGAGCCCCTACTCGACGGATAGTTCCAAAAGAGCGTTTCCAAAGCACTAGCCGTTGGAACCAGGTTCCAAGATGCTCTCATTAAACGTCTCTGGGCGCTCATATCGACATGAACATGGAAGTGAGTGAGCCACTCACAGAGCTTGGGACGGAGCCTTAGGGAGAAGAAGGGATTCTAAGGGAGGACGTGAGCAACCATTTGTTCTCCCTGGCGTTTCTCCCACTCCTGGGCTTAGTCCTAGTGTCACCTACCAGCGGTTTTTGAATGCCCTGTTTTGAATGTCCCCTTAGGGACATGAGCGCCCGTCTCTGTAATCCCTTTCTCTTCAAACCTTGGAAGCACACAATCCAAAATTGCCAGTCACTGTACGAACAAGTGAAAACTTGCCATTACTATAGTTACGCTGTGAGTAGTTGATGGGAATTTGTGAGCGTTGATTTGAACAACAAGAACGACTTCGACTGAAATGACAGCTTCAAGAACGTCTTCAACGGCATCAGGTGCTTTTAAAAACTCACTGATGGCATGATTCAGCCATTCAGGAAAAGATCATCTGCAAAATGAGAAATCTTCGTTTACACCGTGTACCTATCTCATAGTAACAATAACAATGATTAGTATTTTGTCTATTCGATTTCCGTAAGGTCGTAGGACCTTCTGCTGTTGTGTAGCGACTTCGGTGTTAAGTGAGTTGGGGGGGGGGACCACGCGGAAGAACCTTTTTCAAGGCGATGGTACTAAGCCTGAGCATAGGAAGGGGTAAGCATTATGACTTTTGATTGACTTTTGGCACACTTGAGCCTCCTTCTAGGCTCAGGCTCGGTCCCATTGCGTTTGACAGACTTGGCGCCGCCGCGTGCCCCACCCCCACTCACTCAGCACCGAGTTTTCAACTGTGTTGAATTCATCTTGTTCTTCTTCGCAGAAGCACAATGTTCAAACTTCATTGATAGTCCATTGGGTAAGGAATTGTGGCTCGCTAGGACAGGAAGCGACTTTTTCGCTCTTTGCACCGCGAAACTTCTTTA